TGCCAGTAAATAATGAATTCCATCGCATTTGTACTTTGCAATGTATTTTAAGAAATGACTTGCCTGAAATTTCCACGGCTTATCCTCTAGCATCTCAATGCAGCGAAAACCAGAAGTTCTGCAATCTCCCTTAAATACTGTGTGATCTGGAAAGAGATGCAGATCGATCCCCCTTCCCCAGTCAACAAGGCAAATACCCTGCAAGATAAAACAATAAGCACTGTATTAATGAAACCATTTATATACTCAAATAAATTATTTAATTATATGCATAATTTATTTTAAAATTTAATTATATGTAATAAATATTTAACACGTACAATACACATATTAAAATATAATTCAAGAATTATTAAGAAAAAATATTTTTTCTTAATAATTTTTGAACTATATTTTAATTTATTTTGTACGATCGTTATCAAATATATTTAACAGAAAATATTTTTTTGACATTGTAGCACTTTTGTTTTAAGGTGTTTAAGCTTTCTGTGAGTTAGGATGGGTCATCTTAGGAATGATACTTAAGGATTTCTAAAAACAATACCTCATAAGTTCATGTTTCTAGAATTCATAGAAAGAAGCCAATGGGAGTGAGTATCTCTAAGAACCTCAAACCTTTTCTTCCTCATTCTAAGAGATATTTCCTTCTTTCTTTTCTTGTAGCTGATCCTTCTTGCTCAACTTGTGATTTGGAGCCTCCAAAGCCAAGGATTCCAAGTCGTTTGGAGTTGGTTCTTCTCCTCACCTCTTCTTGATTCGCTTCATCATGAGGTAAAGGAAGCTTGTAATGTGGTATGTTCATGTTGTATGATGCTTATTGTTGCTAGGATCATTAGATTCATAGCTTATATGTTGATTTGAGTAGTAGAGATACTCTTGAGGTGGATGTTGAAGATGTAGATGATGATTCCTTAATCCCTGGTTGCATGTTATTTTTATTGTTGGAAATCAATGAATTATGTATGATGTCTATATGTTGAATTTTGCATTGCATGTGGTTAATTCTTAGAGATATGTATGAATATTGAATATCGAGTTGAAAGTGGAAGGATTAGGTTGTTGTTCTTCCATTTTAGGTCTTCCTGCAGTTATACATGCACATGCACGACGCTTGTTAAGGTAGATCACCAACAATACGAGGAAATCAATGATGAGAGATAGGACAATAGCTGCCAAGGTTGTAAACCAAATGAGAGGTAGGTTGAACAAGCCACAAGTCACACTAACCCCAAATGCCTTGGCTACCAAAGATGGAATATAATAGAGTGGTCCAAAAATCAACTTTAGCAAGAAAATAATTTGGTATACAGGTTCTAGTGGACAGGTTAATTAGCAATCAAACCAGCGGATAGCACAACATGATCGTAGTCTCATCAATAATCTCTTGAATGAACTTATCATATGTTTTCTCGAAGTTCAGCGGTACTGGTGTTGATCTATCATTGGTGTTTCCCAATTTCAAACCGAATTGAGCAATCAACTTATCCGCTTGATATTTTAGGAAAGCAAAACAAAATTCATTAAACATGAGGAGGAATACTCAATACACTTGTCCTTATGAACGGCTCGATGGTGGGGGATTCATGTAAATATTTTTAGTACGTGCCTGGTAAAAGCAAAAAACTCGATCACATATATTAACGTAAGGCTGAAATTTTGGACAAAATTATTTTATAAAAATATAACAAATGTGGCACCAAGAGCTTATATATGGATATAACATGTGTTAAATAGAAGAGAATTGCTAAAGCCTCCGAAACGTAAGACTGAAATTTTGTCTGAAATATTAAAAAATTATTACTTTTTAATAAATTTATTATAAAATAATTTTGTCCGAAATTTCAGCCTTACATTTCAGAGGCTGTAGCAATGCTCTTTACTATATGATTTTGATATTTTTGTAAGCGAGGAATGTAATTAGCAATATTCACAAATACAAATCATGTAAGCAACTTGACACATTACATGACTGTTATAGCATGCATTGCACATCATACAATGCTCATTAAAGAAAAATATTTCAAGCATTTGCAAGCAGGTTCTGTCATTAAATATGGCAAGGCATTTTATATGATTTATATTGTTGATGCTTTTTTCATTCCAGCAAATGATGCTTTGATAGATACAGAGGGCCTTTGTAAACCTCACATCCTTAGATACAGGAGTATGAAATAACTAGAAGGACGCAAATAATGGGTTGAAAATATCTTTACTACAGATACATTACTACATTAGCAATACCCTCATAAATTAAGAATGGGGAAACAACTTTACAATTACGTATTGCGAGATACAAACAAACCAAGGAATGAAGGAAAGGGACAAATGGATAACTTGAAAGAAAGGGAAAGTTTTGAAGTATTAGAATTCTAATTGTACAAGCATGAAATTTGTTAAAATAAGTGAGACATGAGCATGAAATGCAAGTTGCGAGAGAAGCTTACATAGCATAGCGAATTAGCAGATTATCAGGCTTGAAATCACCATGAATCAAGCCAACATCATGCAAAGTTTCAACCATGTGTAACATTTCTATAGTGTAATAAATACACAACAATTCTTCCATGGATTTTCCTATGACCACATATGAGTTAATGACATCCTGCACAGTATTTTCAGTTGAAGATTAATACCATAGAATACTGAAGATAGCAAGGGAAATCAACAGAAATAAAATAACTGACCTGTAATGTCCCATTAGCTAAATAGTCACAGATGAGTATACTACAGTCAGAATAGAGATGCATTTGTTGAGCGAAACCATAACTTGACCTCTGATAAAGTTAAACGCAGAAATCAGAATAAGCACATGCTCATAGAAACAGCAGGTTGATAGTATAATTGATAACAGCATACCTCTCTATCTAAGATGCGCTGATCAAGTTGACGATACATGTAAAATTCCCAAGGGAATGCTGGATTTTGTATCTGCCATTTAAGGATCAAAATACAATCTAATGAGATAATAGGTCTACATTTCAAAGAAAAATAATTTGAAAGGCCATCATCACCTTTAGTGCAACAACATTGTCAGGATCACTGTCGACAGTTGCCTTATATACTTGGGCAAACCCACCCTGTCCAGCACAGCCCTTGATATGGTACTTCATTCCACCTTTAATGTCATGTTAAGGACAAACAAGAAATAGTACTGTTAGTAAAATAAATTGGAATCTGCGTATGAGGAAAGTGATTAACATAAAAATGAACTCTTCATGTTGATCTTACATATGCATAAAGCTGGAAAGCAGTCAGACAACTACATTTAGATTAAAGATTAGCAACAGATTTAGTGACCAAAATACATTTGTTGGAAAAATCTGTCACTAATTTCGTCTCAAATCTATCACTAATTTTCTGTTTTAGGCTAGTTTACGTTTTCTTACAATTTTTCTCATTTTGAATCATTTGTAATTGCTTGGAGGGAGTATTAAGAAATTGGTCAGGTATATCTAACCCTTGTAGCATTTAATTTCACATTAGTGCAAGTGGAAGTGTTCTTGATTAGCTCCAAGTGTTGATCAAGCTTCCACTTAGGGAACCAACTAGTTTGCTTAACATTTTCTCTTGTTTTTAAGCTTTCAAATTGCATGTTTTTATTAAGTTTTCTGCATGTTTGCTTGATGACGTTTAGGGGAAACAATTTCTAAGTTCTAAAGGCTTAATGTTGTTTAGAACCACAGATCGGAGGTGATGATTCCTTAATCCCTGGTTGCATGTTATTTTTATTGTTGGAAATCAATGAGTTATGTATGATGCCTATATGTTGAATTTTGCATTGCATGTGGTTGATTCTTAGAGATATGTATGAATATTGAATATGGAGTTGAGAGTGGACGGATTAGGTTGTTGTTCTTCCATTTTAGGTCTTCCTGCAGTTGCACATGCGCACGCACAACGCTTGTTAAGGTAGATCACCAAAAATACGAGGAAATCAATGATGAGTGTAACACCCCAATTTTCAAAAAGGTTATTATTATTAAATTTTCCGATGCAATCTCTGAGTAAGTTACTGAGATTCGGAGCGGGATTGTTGGAACCTTCTAGAGCTTTCCTGATAGACCTAAATTCACAGAGAGCAGAAGAGTGATGAGATTGAGGATCTTCGGGAGTGCGAGAGAGTGTGAGAGAGAAAGAGAGGAACCAGAGAAAGGGTAAGAGAGGATCGTGGTGAGCGTCGACGGCGATATTGATACGGGGTGCGTCGCTGAGCGTTGTGGTGGTCATTGAGTTCAAAATTGAAATTGTGTGAGAGACTCGGAAAGTTGAAGCGCGGAAACTGCACCAATTTGAATCTGCCTCGTTTATTTTTTTATTTTAAAAGAAAAAAAAAATGTGTTTAACCTGTATATTATATCATTTCAAGATAGATGATTTACAAAAATAGCTTATTTTGAGAAAAGAAACTATTGACCTTAATGAAAATAAGCTATTTTGTATAACCAATGCACAAGTTTTTTTTGGCGAAATTAAATAGTCGCTAATCACTATAGAGGCTTTTCCTGTTGAGATGTTTTCTATGCTCATGACCGATGCTACTACAGTGTCATTCATAAGATTATAATTTTCTCTCTGTGTGTTGCTTTATTTGCATATGTTACAAAAAAAAAACAATAATAAACATAAAATAATATTTTACCATATTAACACTCTTCTTTTAATTTATAAATGTTAGGGGACATTTACAACTGGACAAATATTTTAATGTTTGGAAATCATAAGTTTTTTATAATTTGAAGATACTTTATTATTACAATATTTATGGGTTCTCGATCCTTGTACCGTAAATGTACGTTTATAATTTTGAATTATAACGATTGTGTTTTGTTCCTGCTGTAAGTTCCGTAAATCTGCTATCATCGTTAGGGTTCGTTGGGTTGCCGTCACGATTTTGTCCGGCGTCTTGATGAGTTAAGGAGGAAGGGTAAGCCTCGACGTGAAACTTTTAGGCAATATCGGGACAAGCCTCCCAGTCGATGCTAAGGCCCTCTTTCTAGCGCCAATGTTCCTATCGTAAGTCCGCTGTCATCGTTAGGGTCACCGCATCCGAGGTATTGTCCGTTTTGCTTCGTTGGGCTGTCACAGTTTTGTCCTTTAAAATGTGTCTCGACTCTTAAGTGATGTGAGACTTTTAGGCATACCGGAACATGTTTTATTTCACATTAATTGTTATTATGTTTAATTTTAAATTATTTTAATTAAATTCTAGCGCCAATGTTCCTATCGTAAGTCCGCTGTCATCGTTAGGGTCACCGCATCCGAGGTATTGTCCGTTTTGCTTCGTTGGGCTGTCACAGTTTTGTCCTTTAAAATGTGTCTCGACTCTTAAGTGATGTGAGACTTTTAGGCATACCGGAACATGTTTTATTTCACATTAATTGTTATTATGTTTAATTTTAAATTATTTTAATTAAAATTATTATCATGAATTTTTCATGATTTGAATTGAGATATAATCGGATTTAATTCATGACGACAATTCTTATTAGACCTAAATTACCATACAATTTTGCAATTCACATGTTTTATCTTGTATGTGCTATCTGGATTGGTATTATATTAAAATACTATTTAGTTAATGTATATAATTTTTAGACCTATGTAGACTATGCTGAAAGGCAGTAAGTTTTGAATTTGATCGTGAATTTCAATTTTTTCGGAGGTGAATTTCAATCAATAACGATTTATTTTAATTATCTATAAAATAATAAATATTAAATTATATGATTATTGATTTATTGGTACATTAGGATTATCCAAAGGTAATAGATAATTTAGTTGCTGCATATTTTGTGGCCGAATAATGTGTCTCAAATCTTTATGATTATGAGCATTATAAAGTTTCTAAGATTATATTAATTTTTTATTACTAAGAACTCAAAAAATAAAAGGAGAGATAGGACAATAGCCGCCAAGGTTGTAAACCAAATGAGAGGTAGGTTGAACAAGCCACAAGTCACACTAACCCCAAATGCCTTGGCTACCAAAGTTGGAATATAATAGAGTGGTCCAAAAATCAACTTTAGCAAGAAAATAATCTGGTATACAGGTAGTGGACAGATTAGCAATCAAACCAGCGGATAGCACAACATGATCGTAGTCTCATCAATAATCTCTTGAATGAACTTATCATATGTTTTCTCGAAGTTCAGCGGTACTGGTGTTGATCTATCATGGGTGTTTCCCAATTTCAAACTGAAAATTGAGCGATCAACTTATCCGCTTGATATATTAACATAAGGCTGAAATTTCAAGAAGCTCGACGGTGGGGGATTCATGTAAATATTTTTAGTACGTGCCTGGTAAAAGCAAAAAACTCGATCAGATGTATTAACGTAAGGCTGAAATTTCGGACAAAATTATTTTATAAAAATATAACAAATGTGGCACCAAGAACTTATATATGGATGTAACATGTGTTAAATAGAAGAGCATTGCTAAAGCCTCCGAAACGTAAGATTGAAATTTTGTCTGAAATATTAAAAAATTATTACTTTTTAATAAATTTATTATAAAATAATTTTGTTCGAAATTTCGGCCTTATATTTCAGAGGTTGTAGTAATGCTCTTTACTATATGATCTTGATATTTTTGTATAACTAATATCTGGTATTAAATTTGATATTTAAATATTATAATATAATTAGATAAGATTTTAAATTAGTATTTTATTAATGGTTGATAATTAGAAAATAAAACAAGGAAAAATATATTTTTTGAATTTTATATCTTAGATTTAAGATAAATAAATATATTAAGTTAATTAATAATTTATTTAAAATATTAAAATTTAATTTATAAGTATGTAATAAATAAATATTTATAATTTTATAAATCATATTATCATTATAAATTATAAAAATAGTATTTTAAAATATATAAATTATTATTTAAACTTTTAAAATATTTTTTCTTAATAATTCTTGAACTATATTTTAATTTATTTTGTATGATCGTTATCAAATATAGTTAACAGAAAATATTTTTTTAACATTGTAGCACCCGTGTTTTAAGGTGTTTAAGCTTTGTGTGAGTTAGGATGGGTCATCTTAGGAAGGATACTTGATTTCTAAAAACAATACCTCGTAAGTTCATGTTTCTAGAATTCATAGAAAGAAGCCAATGGGAGTATCTCTAAGAACCTCAAACCTTTTCTCCCTCATTCTAAGAGATATTTTCTTCTTTCTTTTCTTGTAGCCGATCCTTCTTGCTCAACTTGTGATTTGGAGCCTCCAAAGCCAACTATTCCAAGTCGTTTGGAGTTGGTTCTTCTTCTCACCTCTTCTTGATTCGTTTCATCATGAAGTAAAGGAAGCTTGTAATGTGGTATGTTCATGTTGTTTGATGCTTATTGTTGCTAGGATCATTAATTAGATTCATAGGTTATATGCTGATTTGAGTAGTAGAGATATTCTTGAGGTGGATGTTGAAGATGTAGATGATGATTCCTTAATCTCTGGTTGCATGTTATTTTTATCATTGGAAATTAATGAGTTATGTATGATGCCTATATGTTGAATTTTGCATTGCATGTGGTTGATTCTTAGAGATATGTATGAATAATTGAATATGGAGTTGAGAGTGGAAGGATTAGGTTGTTGTTCTTGCTTTTGTTCTTGAAGCTTATGCAAATTTTGGGTAAGCTTACTCAAAGCAAGAACTTACTCACTCCAAGCAAGTTGGGTAACCAAGTTTAGGTGTTCTCTAACTTGGTCTCACTCGAGATGAATTATGATCACTCCAAGCGAGATTTTGTTGCTGAAAGCGAGAACTCATTTGCTTAGAACAAGGGGATTGGAGGTTCAAGGGATATAGTTCTTGACTTTGCTTGCTTCGAGTAAATTTTGGGGAAATTTGAGCAAGTTTTGTTCGCTTAGAGTGAGTGTGGCATCACTTTAAGCAACTAGATCAAGACTTCCAAGAGAAATCTATGTTGGGGCTCACTCCAAGTGTATAATGAGGCGTCGTGAGCAAGTTTTCGTCGTTCAAAGTGAGACCTAAAGGGCTTGAAGCTCTTTGTGTCCTTTATGTTTCTATAAGTTGAAATGCTTATGTGATTCATGAATTATGATGGTATGATGGTCAATTGTAAGATGAATGGTATATATATATATATATATGTATATATATATATATA